CTGGGGGTGTTTCGTTCTCCCTATCTTATGACTTTTCTTTTCATATTTTATACATGCATTGAGGATAATGCATCCCTTAGGTTTGGGTGTGTGTTGTCTAGTTTTTGTTTTGTTTTTTTATGATTAGGAATGCATTTTATTTAGAATTAATTGCATGAATTTAGCATTTTGTTACATCATATAGGAAATACATTCGTGATCTTCCAGGATCAATAAATAAAGTTAATTTTTTTAGGAAATTTTGATGATGCTTAATGATGAAAAATCTTATACTGTGAAATGCTAGGGAAATGTTGTAGAAACTTGGTAGAATTAGAGTTCATAGAAACTTTTCAACACTTAAGATGTATGTTATCAATACTTAGAGATGTTAGAAAATTTTAAACCTCAAAACTCTTATCTTTATTAGATGTTGCATTGAATTTTGTCAAAAAAATTTAGGAATAAGATGGAACAATTGATAATAGCTCCAACATAGTCTTATAGAATAAGTTGGAATGCTTCAACATAAATTTAGATAGATTATTGCAGCATTGATAATCATTATTTGAGTAGGATTTAATTTTTTTAACTTAGCTAAGTATTGATTGGATACACCTAGCCTGCACACTATTGCACTCTATGCTCCAACATAGCGTCAACGACGCTAAAAACTTGAAGTTAAGATAATGCTACATCAATATGCAAGCATACACTATCGTTCAAGTAACAAAGTGATAGCTCGAAAAGCTACGAGTGTTGAACCCATAGAGAGCAATTGTTGCACAAGAGTTGTGTGGCAAGTGTTTCAGAAAAAAAATATAATTGAAGTGGTAAAATAATAAACAACTAGCAAAATAGAGATCATAATAATGGAAGCAGGGGAATGCTATAGCAAACAATAAAGCAATTAGACCGATGGACCTAAGGATACTGTATTTATTTGGTAGTTTAAAGAATGATAATGTTGTAGCAATACAATTACAAGTCACACAGTGATTAACACGTTAATTATCTCTCAAGAATTAAACACTTAATCTAATAGAGTTAACTCTCATCAATTCCATAGATTAAACAGTTAATAAAGAGTAACACTCGACAACATACATCTCTATATGATTTAGTTTATTCTCATAAACACCGATATTGGAACTCAAGTAGTATACAATTTTAATAGTTCTTATCTCTAAAAAGAATCAAGTGTAACACACATGAAGAAGCATTTATCTCTAAAGACATCCAAGAAAAATCTCAGCTTATAAATATATAGCTAAAATAAAAACCATAAGTCAAGCATTTCACCAAACACTTTATGTTCAGAACCAAATAAAAACATAATAGTATTCATTCAAGTTTAGCAAAGTGTTTCCCTTTCTCAAGCTCATAACACTAAGAGAATATTGAACCCCGATCAGTCACCGCTCTACATTATTGCTCATGTACTCTTCGACGAGAGACTTAGACTCTCAACATGGATCAAATATTGTGGAGAAAATGATTGGAGTTAGAAAGTTGCACTAAATGGTACAAGGTGTTATCCTATTTATAGGTTAAGGGTATCGACTCTCAACCAATGTTACTTCTCCACGTTTCAGGTGGTTTTAGATGAATTGACTGACGCCTTCCTTCCAACTGTCCATTCTAGAAAGTTCTTATAACCGCCAGATGAGTCATCAATCAATGCAGCTTCTGTACAACATTACCTGCAGCTTTAAGCAATGCTACAACATCATCATATCATTTTTCTATAATAAGTTAAAAAATAGCCCAGAGCACTTCATTGATTCTCATGATGAAAAATAATATCAAAGTATGTACAAATGATCATAATATGCTCCTAATGGTGCTAAAGTTCAAACTTAACCTAAGTAAAAGGATCTTAAAAGATAACTCTTATAGAGAGTATTAGTAACCAGGGGCTAGATGCCGTTTTTCTTCTCCTTGGGGCAGTTTGTAATGAGACATCCCATTACAATGGTTGATCCTTTTTTTCTTGTAATGTGCGCAAAGGGTAAAAACCTTCTTTGTGACCCAATTTTCTATACCTAAACTAGAATAGTTGTAGTTTTTCATATTAGAAACTAGCATAGGCAAAAGAGACATTTGATAATGCTAATTGTTTTCTTCCTCTTTAGTGGTTTGCAAATATCAAGGCTTACTCGAATTCGAATAGTCCCTTTGTAACCTAGAGACATGAATGTTGTATCGTAGTTAACAAAAAAAAACCCCACAAAATTCTCTAATTGCTTTGCAACATGGTTTGAGATGAATCCTAAAGGCAATTTATTTGTAAGAACCTAAAAATTCACCGTGTTAAGTTCAATAATCATCGGATCTTATCCCTTATTCAAATGATGCAACACCAATATATGTGAGTTAAAGTACTAATCTCTTTAAATCTCAATAACTATAGCTTCATCCTCCTCTTCCCCTAGATTCAATTCCTCTAAATATCGTTCGATATCCCCCATGATTATTTTCCTATAATCGAAACGATAACCACAACACTCAAAGGCTAGCAATAGACTAGAACAACTGAGAAAACTTAGAGACTACCACAAGAGGCAAAAAAAAGCGTGCCAAAGACGGCAGAGGAAACCCATAACGAAATTTTGTCAATAATCTTATTTAACTTAAGAAATATATAAATTTAAGTAATTATATTTGTGTATATTATTAATGATTAAGAAAAATTTTGAACAAATCACCTTATAATTACTTTAAACTAAAAAAGTGAAATTCATTTTGTCGTTGGTTTTTCTTTTCCAACAAATAAAGATTTGATTGATTTACCCGATCAAACCCAATATATTTTATTTTACTTACCTTCTACCTACATATAGGGTGTTCTATTTAAAAAAAATATTTGAGAAGGAATTTAATTATATTTATTATGTATACTAAAAAAAAGAAGTAGCGTACAATGTAATTGTATGTGCAATATTATTTTTTTCGAATTTTAATGCATGTAGGAAAAGAAGCAACGTGAGAGGAAAAATGCTAATCAACTCTAAGGTGGTGTTTGTTTTTGCAGAGGTAAAAGGTCTGCAGTCTGCGAACCACATCTGCATGCATCTGCAGCAGAAGAGGTGGACCAAAAGTCTGCAGTCTGCAAGAAGAAGACAATTTATTTTTTAACGTCTGCAGACTGCTAAAATAAACTGAAATATATATAAACTGATTTTTTAAAATTAAAAGAGTTTTGCAATACTGAAATTTAAATAATTTTAGTTTTATAATACTGAAATTTAAATAATCCATACAACTACAATAATAAATTTTTAAAAATAAATCAATCCATATTTTAAAATAAATCAATCCATATTTTAAAATAAAATTTTCCATATTTTAATATAAATCAATCCATATTTTAAAATAAAATTTTTCATATTTTAAAATAAATCAATCCATATTTTAAAATAAATCAATCCATATTTTAAAATAAATCAATCCATATTTTAAAATAAAATTTTCCATATTTTAAAATAAATCAATCCATATTTTAAAATAAATCAATCCATATTTTAAAATAAAATTTTCCATATTTTAAAATAAATCAATCCATAATTTAAAATAAATCAATTCATATTTTAAAATAAAATTTTCCATATTTTAAAATAAATCAATCAATATTTTAAAATAATTTTTTCCATATTTTAAAATAAATCAATCCATTTTTTAAAATAAAATTTTCCATATTTTAAAATAAATCAATCCATATTTTAAAATAAATCAATCCATATTTTAAAATAATTTTTTTCATATTTTAAAATAAATCAATTAATATTTTAAAATAAATCAATCCATATTTTAAAATAAATCAATTCATATTTTAAAATAAAATTTTAAAATAGATTTAAATAATTTTAATTTCTTTGAAGACGTTTGAAGACATAAAACCATGTCTGCACCAAGAAGACCTCGCGTAGACGTTAGAAGAGCTTATGTCTTCTAAAAAACAAACAGTCTGCGAAGCTCAATGTCTGCACGTGGTCTGCGCGGCGCAGACATAAAAACTTTGCAGACCTTACACAGTAAAAACAAACACCACCTATCTCTTGAAGGTTGCGGAAATGATCTCTTCTACTCTGAATAGTGCATTGATACATATGGAGATAAAGCAAAGGAGTTTGTGTTTAGCCTTCTATCACTGCCTGTCATTGTACTTATTTTTGTTATGTGATTAAAGGTGAGTAAAATTCAATTTGATTTGAAAAAAAAAATTATACTCGATTTAATGTTAAAAACCTTTATTTAATTTGACTTAATTCAAAAAAATTAATAGATTTTTAGTTATAAAATAAGACTCAAATAACTCGATATTTTTAATAATTAGTTAATTAATTTTCAAGTTCAAGTTGAGTCATTCGAATCTGTATGATATATGTATATCACATGTGAAAAAAATATTTTGTATGTGATTATAAAAAAAACTATTTATATTGAAATCAATTAATATCATAAAATAATAAATATTTATAATTATATTTAAATTTAAACTCTAACGACTCAATTTGAATTTCATAACTCATCTGGACTTGAAAAATTTTAACTAAAATTTGACCTATAAAATAGAACTTCTCAACTTGATTAAGTTTAAATCTTTTAATTGATTGGATTAACTAAATAATCAACCCTAAATGTGATACACCAAATCTTATTATTATTATATTTATTAAAATTTTAAACATGGTATATGTTACTCTATTTTTTTTGCTAGTATAATATATAAGAGTGATATATTAAAGACTTATAATATCAATCTAATTATGTTTTATTTGAACTTTAAATTTTAGAATTTAAATTCAACTCATATTTTAAGCATACTTAATATTCTTATTAAAATTTATTTTTTCAACCTAAGAAATTTATCAGAAAATCATTCTGGACGAGAATTGTTTAGACAAATAATCTCAAATTACAATGTCTTTTTGTAAGAAGAATACAAAATCACAACGATGAATGATGATTCAAAATTTATAGCTGCTTCATCTTCTACCCAATCATGCAAAAGAATCTGTCATGATATCTTTTTATTGTCATAACATGCAGACAAATTAAAAGCGAGGGAATTAGCTCATAAATGAAGAGATAGATCAAGCTTTTGATCTTTGCCCTTGTATTCATCTATGCCAATGGATTGATCGTCACCCTGATGAGCCAACCCTCCATTGCACCGTATGCTCCTCTGCCAATCCAAGTACTCCCGCTCGTCTTCCTCTAATCGAACACGATGATCTACACTGCCATCGAACCTGGTAGCAGCACCATTCGATCCGAACCCATCCGAGAAATACCGGAAGTTAGCAGCGTGAGCTGCTATATACATCGGAGAGTGAAAAATGCCTAACTGGTGGTGGCTCGTCGGGGTTGCATAAAAGAACGCCGGAGAAGAAGACGAGAAACTGCTGGTCGGTCCATTTTCGGATGCCTTTTTAGCCTTCCTTACGGCGATCCTTTCCTTCTTGTGAGCGTTTTGATGGCCTCCAAGTGCCTGAGAGCTGTAGAACTTTCTTGAACAGAACAGGCAAGAGAAAACCCTGGTTGTTCCATGTTGGCTTTCTTTATGATCTTCTTGCATAGCGGTGGAGAGTGAAGGAACTGGGATAAACAAGTGTGGGAGAAGTGAAATAAGAGTGATGTAATAAGGAAGGGCAAGGAAGATGGTTCAGAGAAGTGGGAGTTGTGAAAAGAGTTGGAAAACGTGAAGAGTGAGATGAAACATAATATAATTGTTGAATGGAGGGATGCTTGAGATTGACTGTACATGGGGACTGTATGGGCTTGGGAACTGAAGAGATAAGCATGGGTTGGGAGAAGTATTTTCCAAGACGTTTCTGCATGCTCAGACCAAGTATGGTATTGGTGGGAATAAATGTTTTTGACTTGGAAATATCATAATCTTTCTCCTCTTCAACACCATTTTTTCCTCATACTCTCTATTACTGGAATTGGAGGTAAAATTTATTGGATGATGTGGTTGGAAAAAGATTTGATGGCTTAGGGCGTTGAGAAAATTATTTTCTTAATTAAGGCTGAATGAACAGTGTAGGGGATGTAGATCAGAGTTTTTGGCCATTTTATGAAATTAGTCGGATTGTAGGATGTATTTTGTATGATGTCCGGATCGGTCTATACAAAGCAGCGAGAGACATGTAATATTAAGCTAGAGAATTCGTTGTCTTTCGTGTATCTTCCTAAAAATGTCATTTCTTTTATATTTCTTTCTAAAAACGTCAAATAATCTGACCGATTTCTCTCTTACTTTGTTCATTCCACCCTAGTTGATAAAATATTTTTTCTCATCACCCATCTGAGTCATACTTTTCTCCAAACCATTATCCCACTAATTTTATCATTAGAATTTGGGGTGGGGGGTTGTTTAGGTTTAAAGAAGGGGTTTGGTTTCATATTCTTAAAACATAAGAAAAGGCAGGCACATGGTGGAGAGGTAAGAGTGTCAGAAGAGAGATTGGGAGATGAGTTAGGTGATACGTTGAATTGGGTGGCTTAAAAGCTAAATGTCAGTAGTTTACCCACTTGAGTGGGGTGGCCTTAATAATTCAACCCTTCTCTCTGCCATATTGGCTCAACTCTCCTGGCCTGCTGCTGTCAGTGAATGAGGGCACTAGTGGTGCGGTTCTCCACCGCCAACCCCATGCAAATTGCCGCATTTCATCCATACCTGCCTTTGCATTTTTCTGTACCAAATGTGGTGTGGGCAACCCTATGCTCTTCAACTCCAGACTATTATTTGGTCCCCCCTGTGTTTTGGCTCTACACTTGAATGCAACCAAGAGAACCAATTCACTGCAGCAGTGAGTTATATCATTAAGGTTTTACACTCCAATCAAATGTGGTCTCTATCACTTTTTTATAAAGTTTCAACACCTACAACTTTTTATCTTAAATTATCTCAAATCATTTGATTTAAAGCTCAAGTTTTGATATATGCAGATATGAAGCTATGTTTCGTCTCGGAGACCACAGCCTCTTATTTTTTTTATTAGTAAAAGAATATATATATGGTTAAATCTTAAATTAGAGCTCTTGATTTCTTCTTCTTCTTATTTTCTATAATTGATTATATTTTCTCTCTTTTAACTTGGAATCATGTTCACGTCTTTGAATATATTTAACCTTTAGTTCATCTCAATCTTTTCTGTTTAGTAGGATTATATGTTGTAGATCCATATACAGTATTTTTCAGGCTCAAGAAATAAATTTGTCTTAAAATAGTTCAACTCAGATTATTTTTTTTTGTAGGGGGCAGACAACAAATTTTCCATTTGTTTAAGAGTTAAAAAGGACTAAATCAAATTTTGTGTACTTAAAAATGACCAAAACCGTAATCGAATCATTTAACCAAGGTGGGCCTGTCTGCCCTGAGACTAGGCAAAATTGGTCCAATACAACAAAATGAGAAAATATTTAGCCTAATAGGGAATGTATAAGTTTATTTTGGGATCCACTATATTTATTACAGTGTTCCTATGTCTCGTCAAATAAAGGTAGGAGTTTCAACGTAAAATATATTTTATTCTATTCATCTGGTTTAATATTTAATTATTTTTTTAGAACTCGTCATATCGAAGTGACAAGTTTCATAAAAATAATATTTTTATTAATAACTAGAGTGTTATTTTTTAAAAAAATAAAAAAATAAATGAAACTCGTCATGCTGAGGTGATGACTAATGAGTTCCAACGGTCATATTGATAGATTTTATTAAATAAAAAGAATTAAATGGTGTGATTGAGCAATGGAATGAAGCGATATATCACTGAAAGGTTAAGAAGATTGTAATAGATTTTATTTATAAAAACATTACATTAAACTCTAAACCACAAAACATTACATTTAAGAGATAAAAACAACAAACTATGAACATTCATTAAAAAAACAACAAACCTAACACATTACGTTAATGACATAAATACAACAAATCTTACACACACCTTAAACAATAAATAAAATCATAAACATAACACTATTTTTTTATGATGTTTTAATCCTCATAATCAATAGACTCGTCAGAAGTAATATTCAGTTCTTCAATTCTCCATTTTTTTTCTTGTTTTCGTTCACGTACAAATTGGAACCATGCTTCCGGGTCTCCACCATCTAACTCTGTTTCTTCATCATTTTTCTTAGTTGGTGGATATTTGAGCTGGAAGCAACATCCTCAACTATAATAACAAGGTCGACATCAATGAACTCTACAAAACAAATCGACATTAGATATATAATGATAGTAGCATGTCTCAATTATGCCAGTAATATCAACATCATCGCTTAGATGAAAACCTCGTGCATGATAGTTACAATTTATAATATAATGAATATATTCTTCTATTGCTTCTGAGTTGAACCATTCTTTCTATTTTCAACTTCAACTCGTCAAGTTGAATAGTAGTTTTGAAAGACATGCTTAAAGATTTACAATCATAAAAAAAACAATTGCAAGAATAGTAGCCATGTTAGCAAAAAAAACTCAAGCTTTAGAAGTGCAAGACTCAATTTTTTTTATAGATTTTTTTAGATTTTTTTTTGCTTCAAGTGAGTAAAATAGCTTTTACTTCACACATATAAAAATAGGTTTGTATCAGTCCTTGTCTAGTATAACACTAAAATGAAATGATATATCACTGAAAAGTTTTTGAAGTGAAGTGATTGGACATTGAAAAGTTTTTGTAATTGTGTATTAAATGGTGTATAAGAAAAAAGATGTTTTTTCTGAAATAAAATGATATATCAGTACAAAGTTTCTAAAATGAAGTTATATATCACTAAAAAGTTTCTGAAGTGAAATGATTGAACACTAAAAAGTTTTTGTTATTGTGTATTAAATGGTGAATGAGAAAATGACGTTTTTCTGAATGAAGTGATATATCACTGAAAAGTTTCTGAAATGAAGTTATATATCACTGAAAAGTTTCTAAAGTGAAGTAATAGGGCATTGAAAAGTTTTTGTCATTACGCATTAAATGGTGTATGAGGAAATGACGTTTTAATCCTCATAATCAGTAGACTCGTAATAAGTAATATTTGGTTCTTCAGTTCTCCATACTTTTTCTTGTTGTCGTTCACATACAAATTGGAACCATGCTTCCGAGTCTCCGCCATCTATCTCTGTTTCGTCATCATTTTTCTTAGTTGGTGGATATTTGAGCTGAAGCAACATCTTCTACTATACAAACAAGGTTAACATTAGCAAACTCTACAAAGAAACCAACATTATATATATAATGATAGTAGTATGTCTCAATTATACTAGCAAGGTTGACATCATCACTTAGATGAAACCTTATGCATGATAGTGACAATTTATAATATAATGAAGATATCATTCTATTGCTTCCAAGTTGAACCCTTCTTTCTATTTTCAACTTCAACTCGTCTAGTTGAATGTTATTTTTGAAAGACATGCGTAAAGATTATAATCATAAAAAACTGTTGCAAGAATAATAGCCATGTTAGCAAAAACTCAAGCTTTGGAAATGAAAGACTTAAATTTTTTAGATTTTTTTTGCTTCAAGTGAGTAAAATAGCTTTCACCTCACACATATAAAAATAGATTTGTATCAGTCCTTATCTGATATAACACTAGAATGGAGTGATATATTACTAAAAAGTTTCTAAAGTAAAGTGATTGAACAATGAAAAGTTTTTGTCATTGTGTATTAAATGGTGTATAAGAAAAAGACCTTTTTCTGAAATGAAGTGATATATCACTAAAAAGTTTCTAAAATGAAGTTATATATAACTGAAAAGTTTCTGAACTGAAATGGTTGGACACTAAGAAGTTTTTGTCGTTGTGTATTAAAGTATGAATGAGAAAAGGACATTTTTCTAAAATGAAGTGATATATCACTGAAAAGTTTATGAAATAAAGTGATATATCACTGAAAAGTTTCTAAAATAAAGGTATATATCACTGAAACGTTTTTTAAGTGAAGTAATAGGGCATTGAATTTTTTTTCATTATGCATTAAATGGTGCATGAGGAAATGACGTTTTAATCTCATAATCAATAGACTCATCACAAGTAACATTCAATTATTCAATTCTCCATGTTTTTCTTGTTGTCGTTCACGTACAAATTGGAACTATGCTTCCGGGTCTACATTATATATCTCTGTTTCTTTATCATTTTTCTTAGTTGGTGGATATTTGAGCTGGAAACAACATCCTCAACTATACGAACAAGGTCGATATCAACGAACTCTATATATCACTGAAAGGTTTCTAAAATGAAATGATTGGACAAAGTTTTTGTCATTGTGTATTAAATGGTGAATGAGAAAAGGATGTTTTTCTGAAATGAAATGATATATCTCTAAAAAGTTTCTGAAGTAATAGGGCATTGAAAAGTTTTTGTCATTGTGCATTAAATGGTGTACGAGAAAACGACATTTTTCTGAAATAAAGTATATATCAATGCAAAGTTTCTGAAATAAAGTTATATATCACTGAAAAGTTACTGAAGTGATGTAATTGGCACTATTTTTTTTGCTATTGTGCATTAAATGGTGTATGAGAAACAAACGTTTTTCTCACTACATCAAAACAATTCTTTGGCGACGATTTTTAGGCCCATAACAACATTTTTTAAGCGTCGTTAAAAACACTAATAAGAAGCACCGCTAAAACCGTCATCGTAACAGATCGCGACGT